TCAAAAACATATTCGTATAGAGGTATTAGAGTAGTAAACATAGCAATGTCTGCAAGACTAATTCTTTCTCCTACTAAATAAGTTTTTGTAAAGAGTATATTATTTAATTTTTTCAAAGAAGAAAGGAGGTCTTCTTTAGATGTTTTAATGTTTGCCTTCATATAATTAGGTATATTCTCGGAAAGACACGGAACAACCCATCCAGAAACTGCTGGTAGAATATGATTATCTGCATAATTTAACCACTGTAAAATTTGAGTAAATGCAAAAGGGTCATTGGAACACCTCAATTGATCATTTGCTAAATAAAATGCAATTGCGTTGCTATCAAATAATTCAAAACCATTTCCTTGAAGCCTAATATCTCTAGAAATTTCGTCACTACTTTTATGTTGTGATACAACCAATTTTTTTCCACTATAATTTGCTACTATTTGAGCACGATAGTACTTCACACTTCCAATATTACCAAAAAGTGTTAAGTTGTCTTTTGAAATTTTCTGATGTACAACTGTTTCATCAGCCACTGATTTGTTAGCTGGAATTTCCTTTTTAATATCTGGAACTGAAAAATAATCGTTAGTAATTTAGATATAATACATTTATAATGTTCATTTATTAACATATTTTAAATTATATTTACCTGTAATACCTAGCTTTAAATTAGCAAAGTTTTTAGCTGTATGTATTAATTTATTTAAGCATGAAATATTAGTACCCGAAGCCTGAGCAGACTCGGGTTTTCCTCCACCTTTTCCTCCTATGAGGGGAGCAATTTGTTGGATCCATTCATTCGCTTTCAATCCTTTATTTATAGCAGACTACCATATTTCATAAAGAAACATAATCAATTTATATATATATATAATTTAATATAGTTGACTATTTTTAATCATTTATTTTACCTTGGAGGATGCACTAAGTGCAAATATCTTTTTAGCATCAGGATCTACACTAAGTAGTAATGCACTTGTTTCTGGGGACACAGCTTTTATCTTTTTTAAGGCAGAATCTAAAGCTTTTGTATTGCTATACGCTTGACAAACCTCAACCAAAACTGGACAACCAACATTTTGCTGAATTAATTGGTCAATGGTTTCTAATACTGAATTAGCGATTGCTGCTTTTGCAGCGCGTTCTTGATCGTCGAGTGTTTTCTTTAAATCTTTTAACATCTTACGCATTTTGTCCTATAAAAAAATAAAATATATACATCATACATTCGCGCATGTTACAAAACATTATAAATGTATACCTTTTTCCAACTTGGAATCGTAGCACGTGAAACATCATCTGTTAACTCAACTATTTTTCTTACATACTCTTTTGAATTCACACTATTTTTATCAGCTAATATAGTCTTTTGAAGCTGGTCTAATTGATTCTGTAGCAACAACGCCTTTTTCTGAGCTTTCGCTGCTTCAGGACCAGTGAGTGCTACGATGCGCCTAATACCTTTAGCAATTGCTTCTTCGCTGGCTATAACAAAATCTCCAATATGCTCTGTGCAATGCAAGTGGCTAAAAAATTTTAATAATAAAGTCTTATATTATGAATTAATTTACTGTACTGTATAATCTAAATTTACTCACGTTCCTCCACAAAATTCCACACTGGTCTGCATTGCACAAGGACCTAAAGGATCCTTTTCCAAATCTTCAATCGGGACACCTAAGCTAACTATTCTAACAGGGTCTGGATATGTTTCTTCGAACATAGCACGTAACCCTTGTATAGTTTTTGCTAATGATAAACTACATTCTCTAGTATAAACCTTTTTCTTCTCTTTTACGATATTATTGATAATTTCTTCGACTTGTTTCACTTGTTCTGGAGTCATGGCACCTAGGGATAAATATTTGTAAACTATATTCGATAGCGTATTTTATTGTTAAAAACATTTTTCTTCTACAAACCTTTATTTGTAAAATCAAATCGGAGGCGATCTGGCGCTACTAGAGAACCCTTCTGATCAACTTCTGTACCCAATACTTTTCGGAGAGCATAATTAAGAGCATGGGTTGCTGTATGATTGCTCATTATAAGCCGCCTACGTGTAAAGTCTACATTTAAGTGAACTTTGTCACCCTTTCTTAGTACTCCTTGACCTACAGAACCAATGTGTAACACATAGCCGCCTCTAATTTGAACATTTTTTATCCGAACTTCTGTCTCCTAAAATAAAAAGTATCTATAAATATAATTATGTATATACACATCTACATATAAGCGATGTATTATTTACTTCATCATCAATCTTCACTATAAATCCTTCATCATATATTTGTCCGCCCTGCTCAGCATAAAAATTCGTTTGATCTAATAAAATTCCAACTTCTTCTCCTGATGACACTTCATCAACAAACGTTTTATTACATCTAAGAGCAAGTACAGTACCAGTACATGGAGCAAATTCATATTCTTCATACAGGTTATTATTCCGAACTGTGTAATTGTATTTCGGTAAGTCTACAGTGGGCTTAATTTCTTTATTTTGTAATTCAGTAATTGCATGAACATCTAAATTAATTTGATCATCCACCCCACCACTTTTGCTTTGAGAGATGAGCTAGTGCAGAAAAAAGATTTTTAATTATTCCGTAAGCAATGCATTCTAACTTGTATTGAAATGTATTTTATATAATACCTGAGCCTGCTTTTTTGCTTCTTCATAAGCTATTATATCCACCTTCAGGCCTTTTTCTTCTGTCATCAGTTGCGTTAAATCAATAGGGAAACCATATGTATCGTACAAACGCCAAGCAATATCGCCAGGGATAATAGTGGACGATTCTAATTTTGCTATTGTACGATTTAATAAATTACGACCACGCGATAAAGTTTTAAGAAATTGAGTTTCTTCTTCATTAATAATATCAATTATCTGCTGCGGATCTTTAGTTACCTCAGGAAAGATACCACCGAGCAGATCAACAACTACATTTACTAATGTTCCAAAAAATCCGGGCTTTGCGTTTAATTTTTCTGTCGCATAACGCACAGCGCGCCTTAAAATTCGTCTTAGTACATATCTGAATTAAAAATTATTATATTAATACATCTACAAATTACAACAACTGTTTGTAAATAATTGTATATAGATCACCCTCTGCCAGTATTGTCTGGTACACCGCCATCTGCAAGAGCAATTGTAAGAGTTCTTGCATGGTCAGCCAGAACTCTATATGCCATATCTATACCATCAATATCATCAGCACCAACTTTTCCTTGATAATGTGGTGCTCCTGTACCTTTCTGTATGGCTTCAAAAAGTGGTATAAATAAATCTGTGTCATAATTAGCACGTTTATTCTGAACAACCGATACTAATCTTTCCAAACCTAGACCACAATCAATATGTTTCTTTGGTAACAATTTCAAACTTCCATCAGACTCTCTGTGATAAAATATGATCTAGATAAATAAAATTTCCATCTCGCTCCATGCATTATAAATGACTTACCTATTAAATTGTATAAAGACAAGATTCCAGATTTCTAAAACATCTGGATCATCTTGATTCACTAAATGAGCTGCTTCTCTGTTACCAATACGATCATAATGTAGTTCACTGCATGGTCCACAAGGACCTGTTTCTCCCATTTCCCAGAAATTATCTTTCATATTTCCTGGCAAAACATGAGTAGGAGGTACTCTAAAAAAAAACAAAGAATTAATTGCATTATTGATCAAATAATACATAAATTTAAAAAAGCAGTCACTATCTGATTACCCCATTGATAGCCAGATATTTTTGCATTCTTCATCTGACTTCAAATGGTTCTTCTCATCTCCTCCAAAATAAGTTACATACAATTGGTCAGCTGGTAACCCTAATTTGGCTGTTAAAAATTCCCAAGCCCAGGTGCAAATTTCTTTCTAAAAAATTAAATTAAAAGATAAAATTTCTATAATAAAGTACAGGTACTATAGACTTTAATTTATTTAGAATAGAATATGTATTCACTTTGAAATAATCTCCAAAAGACCAATTGCCCATCATTTCAAAGAATGTGTGATGGTAAACATCTTTTCCAACATCGTCTAAATCATTGTGTTTTCCTCCAGCTCTAATGCATTTCTGACTATTAACAACTCTTACATATTTTGACATATCACTGTTTGGATCCACAGTTCCCAGAAATATTGGTTTGAACTAAAATAAGTTATAAGAATTTCAGTAACTTGAAATTCTGCAACTCTAAGATTTGTTAATTCTCTCCTCAAGATTGAACTTATTAATAATATTTTATCAAGGATACCTGATTCATTCCAGCATTTGTAAAGAGTAATGTTGGATCATCATGAGGTATTGTAGAACTCGAGTGAACATATTTATGACCTTTGCTTTTAAAAAAGTCAATATAAGCTTGTCGAATATCTTTAGCAGTCATATCTTTATTCATATTGATACTTTCTTTTTCTTTTCCTAAATATGGTCAAAGTAATTGAAATTTCAACGGTAGTTACAACATATGGAAACAAACAATATCGTATGCGCAAATAAAACCACAAGATAATATTAACTGAGAGACTATATATTTATAAAATTGTTAAAAATTATTACGAAATTCGATATTTTAACTTACTTCAAACTAGATATGAAAATGTATAGCTTATCAAAACAGCTGGTTATACGGCAGTGCTGATCTGCTGATGTATTTCACAGAAGAAAGGGAAAAATAGAATTCAGTGCATGTGGTTCAAACCGGCACTGACACCTGAGAAAAAGAAATTGCTCTACTAATACTAGTATGTAGATGTAGCATCTACAGTACGTATGCATTCATACATTTCAGTTAAGTTCTATGTACACATATGTATATATAAATATTTCGCCATACATTATATGTATGTATGCATGTATATATGAATGTGTGCATGTATGATGATTTCCATCATATGTACCCACTCGCTACATGCGTGCGGCGCAGGCGCATCGCAGATGGAGAAGTTTTTCCGAGCGCTTTTATCCCCACTATTTTAATGCGCAACCAGCTCTGCGCAGTTGTGTATTCTGCGCCTCTAGCGTGTGAATACCACACAGACGAAAAACCTAGGCTGTCTCACTTTACTGTGCTTGCTGTCTCACTCTTTCCACGCTTACCGTTCCATCTGAACACTCGGTGCGATATTTGACTTGTACTTTTCGCCCTATAGGATTCTCGATCTCACACGCAGTCCAGCGTATTTGCGAACGCCTTGAAACGACGACCATTTCGACAATTATCAAAATTTTTAAACATCCGTATAAGCTACATTTTAGCTAATACTTTCTAGTATATAAATCTACAAAATTTTGTTAATTCAGCCATCCCAGTATTTGTCAACTGTGACGACCAGTCTCACGTCTACTCTACGAGAAGACGTTTTGAAAGCAACGAATAGTTTCGCAATTTTATACAATTTTTACATTTAAAAATTTGAAAAATAAAGCTGAAACTTGCATTTATATTCTCTTATGAAGACTACATATTTAATTTAGTAATAATCTACAAAAAATTTTCGAACGCAGAGTTTTAAAGAATTAGAGTTTCGCATGAGGTTGCGATGGATGTCGCGCTCGCTTGCTCACTCGCCCTTTCCTCTCTTTGTCTTTGATCATGATGGCAGCACTGTTCAATTGTGAATCGTTAGCCAATCAGAGCCATCCTAATCTGGTTCTTGAATCGAAACGTTATTGTACTTGCAATTTATAGAATCTCAATTAGTACATACATACACAAATTACTTAGAATGTACCTACGGGAGACAAACAGATTTATCTGAAGAAAATTTACAGTAATAAGAATTTGAGGTTTCAGTTTCACAAAAACGAAGCCGAACTGAAACCTGAAACTAAAACAGTCAGGAAGAATAATTTTCTTTCATAAAAAAATTTATTAAAACACCGTCAATATGCCGTTTATGATAGGTCCCGCACCTGTACGAAGAACATTGTCGTTTTTAAATGCTGGCAAATTGACTTT